GGTCAGCTTGTATGCACAGGTAGACTTTCCAGATGCAGCGCTCTCAGTCACCTTTATATTTTCACACCGCTGTGTGTTTGCTGATGGACCTCGGCTGCCCGGGAGGCTGCCGGGGCCCCTCGGAGCGCAGGACGCAGCCAAGAAACTGTCTGGCCACCCAGTGTAAACTATGTGTTTACAGCGGAGCCGGGGTCACACTGGGCACGCTCGGCTCACCTGCTGCTAATGATAAAGGAGCTAATGTCGATGGAGACAGGCGGCTATAGTGACACCACCAAGTCCTATCTATTAAAAATCTTTTTCCTGGCTGAGCAGAAGAAGAAATTTTGGCTTCATCTGGCAGCCTGGCGAGAGATAGCTACTTTTCATTCAGCGTAAATCCGCTGTGGATTAGTAAATATTTTAAAGGTTAAGCTCAACCAGGCGGTTCAAAGTGAAAGGGACCAGTAGCTCTTGAGCAACCAGCATCTCTGCCCTCCTCCCTGTTTTCTCAGAGCTTAGTGCATACTGTGTGCTCAAACATTTATAGACTTTATTATGTGGTCATGCATTTATGTATGTTTCCTCCTTGCCGTACGGTGCTGCTTCCTCGTAACAACATACCCCTAATGGTTTGCTTGATCAGAACACGCTCAGATTTTCCAGAACACAGGTGCTGCTGTTAGAGGAGTCAAACCTAATGTTACATAATGCATAACAGCTGCATATTTGTTAGTTCAAAGAACACTGAGAAACATCGACTGTTGCTCGTCCTCTGCACCGTCCCCGTTAATCTGCCAATTTGACTTCAGTGCCTTTTTTTTTTTCGTCTTTCTTGCCCTCTTCACTCTTTTTACTTGTCCTCTCTCAGTCGGTGGGGGGGTGAGGGCGTAATGCCATGCTTTAAATAACTTTATTGACATTTGAATTGGTCGTGGATCATGGTAATTATCCAGCCTTCCTGCTTCCTGGCTGGCATTCACGGGGGGGAAGAGGAGAGCATCAGTGCAGCCACGTTTCAAGACCGGGGCCACAAGCAGAGAAATTTATCTCAAATGCAAACACATGCTTCCATTCACATGCTGTTCGCTCGTACTGTCATTCACGTAGAAAAGCCGCGGCACAAAGCGCGCGCACCTATCATTGAGTCGGTTTTTCGCTGCGTATTGGGGCTCATGAATAAAGCAGCTTATTGTGGTATCTTCCCCTATACAGGCTGAGCAATGTAGTGGGACTGTGTGAAGTATTCTCGTGGGTTTCTTTAAGGCTGAGTGACCATGAATCATTGCACTAGAATGTTTGCTCATTCTTATCCTCCTCGAAATCTCCATGACTACGCTCCTGTACGGTCAGCACGGTCATGCAATACTGGCAAGCTGGAGCTCCACTATCAGACATTTTGTCTGTGGTATTTTTTTTCCCTGGTTAACTGGGTTAGATTTATTTTACCATATAAGATCATCGCAATCGTTGCTGGAAATTTGCTTTCTTTGTTTTATTTCTTTCTATGTCACATTGTGCCAATATCTCCAATATCTTCAGCGTTTAAAATTAGTAATTGAGATTTTTTTTTAATGTTTAGAGGTAGTTTATGGCTCTTTGTCATGTTCCTCTAGCACTTCCTGAGCTGTTTTTCCTTTGTGGCAAGGCACATTGGCCTGCTGGGAGAAGGTGTTGGGGAGTACCGTCACCATACGTGGGGGGGTATATGTCAAAGTAACATCCAAATGAACACCAAGTGGGCTTCCCAGCAGAACATCACACCATCACCAGATAATCGATGGTGACCAACCAGATCATTAACATTTATCACTTCACCTTTCAGCGGCTATAATTATGTGTCCAATCAGCATATTTCATCTAATGACATTGAATCTCTCCGTAAAGTGGCCAGTTTTGAATTGTTACATATAATTGCGACACTCAAGCACCTGTTTTGCAAAGTTACCTGCTAATTTTAGACTGAATGTCTTGCTCTGCTTCTCCCTTTCTTTCCTGTTTATTGTGTCAAATGTTTAGCTTTTTGTCTGCCTCCTTTAGCAGTAGTGGTACTTGTAATAAATGTAGTCTGTTTGCGGCTTTGGAGGCAAGGATTGCTGACTGGTATGCACAGGTGTAGTAGCTGGTGCAGACCAACCCAACGTAGCCGTTGGTAGCAATCAGTCCAGCATAACCCGATGCTAGACTGACTGTGGTTTTGGTTGATGCCATTGGTCACAGCATCACTTTCTTGCCCAGAGTAAATGAGATCACTGATACCAGTCTTATACCTGTCCCTTAAATGGGAAGTTACAACCAGTAGCCAGTTAGCTGGGCTTAGCATTTAAACTGGAACAAGGAGAAGCTGCTGTCTTGAATCTGTCCAAAAAGATTGGAGATCTGTGAGGGTGGCCTGGCAAGATGACAAAGAACACCAAAAACATTTGGGGAATTCATGCAAACATCCTTCACTGAAAAAAAAAAGGTGTATCCTACTAAATCTCGGGCATAATCCAGCCAGGTTAACTTTATTTACATTGCCCAATATCAGAAATCACAAATTTAGAATCCTTACACATCATACAGAACATCTAATCCAATGGGGTGGGAAAAAATGGAAGAAGCGCATGTTACGAAAATGTTTGAGCCCCCAGTGAACCAGTGTTTCAGTTTTGCTGCTGTAAATAAAAAAGCATTCTGTTTTCCAGTTTTCTAACAAAATATGTTCATTGATGAGCTGTCCAAGTGTTAGTAGGTAGATGTGTTTCTTCCTGTTGTCATCTTTATGCTAAGCTAAGCTAACTAACTGCTGGAAAGCAGACATGAGAGTGGTTTCAATCTTATCCTTCCACTCTTAGTATATTTCCTAATGATATTGCACCAGTTATGTCATTCTAAATTGCCGTGAACCCGCCTCTGTCAACTGGCCAAAAAACAACAACACACAAAACAAAACATGTAATTTTTAGTCTTCCACGTTGTTCCACCAAAACGAGCTGAATCGCAGCTTTAATCCTTCCACCTCTAACTTTACTTCCGCACGTTTCTTCCAAATGTCATCTATGATAGCCTCTGAAAGATATCACTGATTTATTCATCCAAGACTAATTTTCCTCCCATTTGGCAGGATATAAATTAGGCGACCGACTGTGCACAACTGTCCCCGTTGATAAAACAGTCGTAGTCGCCTCATGCGTCGGCGTGAATGATATTGTCCTGCTGCGAGGCCGAGCAGCGCTGGTGTAAATAGACACCGCTCTCTGTTTTCAAAGTCAGTATCATTTTTCCTTGATGCGGAGAGCGAGCCGTGTCCCTGAAGCGAGGCTATCCAGAAGAAGAGAGAGATACAATCAACAGACAGCGCTCGGCCTTTGCTGGCAGAGCCTCGGTGACCGCTCGGGAGAGAGGCGAGAGCAGGAGAGAGCGAGGAAACCCAGATTGAGGGAAAAAAAAAAGGGCGGATTTGATTGCCTTTATATAGTAAATTCTGATCCTGAACATAGAAGAGTTAAACATTGTTCGACAGGCCCGAAACAATACTTTTTTTAAATACAGAATTCATCATCAAACTTTCTACTTTGGTCTAACTTGGCCACCCATCTGCATGTGGCTGTCTGTCAAATGTTCGCCGGGGAGATTGAGGATGGAGAAAGATCAGAGAAAAAAAGTGACAAAGAGAGGAGGAGGAGGAAATTGGGGAATTTTTAGTGGATGAGTGTGTTTCTGGGCTCCATGTTGGGTTAGTTAATGACTGGTGCATATGTCAGCCACGCAGCTGCGGAGTTACAATCAGCCAGCCAGCTGAGGAAAGGGAGTGACGGATGGAACGGAGGGAGAAGAAAAAAAAAGAGGGAGATTCAGACAGATATAAAGAATTAAGCCACGGATGCACAGCGGAGAAAGAAAAAAAAAACAGAGAAAACAATTCAGAGTAAGGGAGAGCAGTGAAGCAGAGGAGGTGAGATGGAGGATTTTGAGCGAAATAAACAGAGAGAGGCATCCAGAGGGACTAGAGAGAGAGAGAGAGAGAGAGAAGGGGAGAAAGAGAGAAGTTGCCAAGATAGTTTCCATTCTTCTCATCCTCCCTCAACTAGCTGAAGTAGAAATGGCAGAGGCTGCAGTCCAAATCATTACACTCAGCTGCCTTCCTGGAAAGTATTTACTGTTGTCAATATGAAAAAAAAAAAAAAAAAGAAAGCAAAGAGAAGGCAGTGTGTATAAAAGGAAAAATAACTAAAATATGCAGCTCCTCTGTAGAAAAGACTGAGTTGATGATGGACTGCGCTGCTCCCTTTTGTGTTCTTCAAAGATATTAGCATATTTTCTATACCCAGCACCTTCTAAAGGAGTCTTTTCACCTCCACTTCCTTTGACTTCGCCTTTTTACCCCTGGCCATCCTGTCTGTCCCGCTCCGTCCTGGCCCATGTTCCATCAGCTCTGGGATTTAAGCCTTTAAGAGCCTCTTTTCCCTCCAGTAAGAGCTTTAAGGCAGAATGTGTGTGGAAAGCAGTTTTTTTTTTTTTTTTTTTGGTTGGGGTGGGGTAGAGGGGGGGGAGAAAGGATCAGAGCCGGACAGAAATAGGTACAGACCAGAGAACAGGAGAGGATGCTTCAGGAGGAAGTCTTTGACCTTGGATTGTCTCCTTCTCCTGGCTGCCCCACAAAAAACGCCCACGGTAACTCAGACGAGTTGTGAGGCAAGGACACTCGTTTATTGTGTGTCGGTTATTGCTCGCAAATGCTGTTGGCGGTATTAGGTACACAGGTGTAAAGCCCGAGCGTTTTTATCACCCACTGGGCTGCTTAAACATCTGTGGACATGTGGAGTTCACCGATCCAACACTGTGATGTGGCTTTTTCCAATATGTTGTGTTTTGTTTTTGCAAAAAAAAACTGCGTATCCAGATGTGTGAATCATGGCTCCCGTGTTAATCCTCTGCACAAAGCTTCAAACAGGTCGCGTGTTGCCGAGCGGCTCCACGCGAAGATTAAAACCCACGACCTCTCAGCTAACTTTTTTTTTTCCCTTGTGCTCCTGCAGGCAGACCCGGGAGCAGGAAACCCCGCCAGACTTCTTCTATTTCTCTGACTTTGAAAGACACAACGCCGAGATCGCAGCCTTTCATCTGGACAAGTAGGTGGAAACCAGCCTGTCACAATGTTTGGGCAGTCTTTTGTGTGTGTGTGTGTGTGTGTGTGTCAGTAGTGGAAGATGTACTATTCAGATCCTTCAGCTGAGTAAAAGCACCAATATGTCAACGTGGCTCCGTTACAAGAATGAAAAGTCCAACTTACATGAAAGTACACAAGCGTTAGCAGCAAAATGTAGTTAAATTGTTAAAGTAAAAGTACAGGCTTTCTCCCTCTGATATATTATTAGATTTGACATTGTTTACTTATTAATAGTGAAGCATCAGTGTGTCAGCAGCATGTTACTGTTTGAATTAATTTATGCAGTTTTGTGAGAGAAAAGACGCAAAAAAAAAAAGCTCTGATCCACAAATCTGTTTTCTTTTTTTGTTTTTAATTTTTTCTAATCTTTGATTTTCGGTGACATTTTGGATCATTCACTGAAATTAAACCATGTTAGAGACGGGGAAAAAAAATCACTAATTGATTGAGCTGTTAGCAACTCAGATATCTGAAATATGACTCCGCACTGCTTTTTGTGAAATGTCAGAAGGAAAAACAAAAGAAATAGAAAGCACTGGTTCAATTTTCAACAGTGCGTTGTGTTTTTAAGCGCTTGTTATATTGTGTAAAATCCCCATTTTATTCATAACTGCGGCTGTCAGACGAATGCAGTGAAGGAGAAAGAAGAATATTTCCCCTCTGAGACACAGTGGAGACGGAGTATAAAGTGGCGTCACGTGGAAATACAAGAGCAATACTTGAGTAAATGTGCTTAATTAATTTCCACTACTGGTGTGTGTGTGTGTGGTGTTTTGTGTTTGGAACATTACATGGTCACATCATCATCTGTCAGTTTTTTATTTTTTTTATTCTGGCCAACTGAAAACCACACTTCCCCCCATAAAGCACATGACAGGACTGCTTTTCCATAACTTGCTCCACAGAGCTGAGGCCTCACCCACCCTCGTCGTCTGCATTGTGTTGTTGTTGTGGTTTCTTACATCTTTATCTATCCGGCTGTTATGCTGCGAGCAAAATTGCCCGTATGGGATCTTAATAAAGACTGAACACCCAGAGCACCACGAGCTTTAACAGAGAACAAGTGTCCGATAACACCTCTGAAACGCCACAAAACAGAGGCAGCAAGCAGCAGCTTTATTGCTGTTTGTGGGTTAAAAAAAAATATGACGAGTGTCTGTGAGCGATGCTGGCAATGGTGGTTTTAGTTGAGCAGTAGATTTCAGCGACTTTTTGCATATGATGGGGGCAAATGGCGTGCATATGGACAAATGAGCTGCTTGTACATGAATGTGTTGCATAAACAGAAGCTGCAAAAGGAAAATGCTGCAAATCCAGTAATGCAACAGAAGTGCCACAGGCCTCTAGGGGCAGTAGTGAGCTTTTCACCTGAGTGAGACAAATAAGGTTAGTTGAGGGAAAAGCTGTATGAGAAGGTTTGTATTCTCTCATCTTCATGGATAAAAATTAAAAACAGAGAGAGCACAGGGAGACGGTAGTAAAACACCACTTCAGCACCCATATAATCACAGTCAGCCTTAAAAACTGCCCCTAGAGGCCTGTGGCACTTCCGTTGTGTGTATCTTGTATATGCAGCTTGTTTCTGTATACGCATGTGCTCCCGTCGGCCACCGTATGAAGCACATTTACAGTGATGCTGCTGGTTAAACTACTTTAACATAGCTGGGTTTACAATAGACAGGATTAAAAAGAACTAAAATCTGAGACTTTTTCCTTCCTTATATTCTTCTTCCTTGTCAACACCTTGTGTGCCTTCATTACCCATAATGAGGTGTTATGCCAGTCGCAGCTATTGCAAACAGAGATCCAAAATGTTCAGCTTGAAAAGTTTTGTTCACATTTGGACCATATTTTACCTGCGTTTGCGATCGTGAAAATCCTCTGCACATAATCGCCCGTCATCAGTTTGGCGGCGACAAAAAGATCTAGCAAGTGAGAGCAGCAAGAAAATCAATTCTCCAGGATGGGATCATACCAACGAGCTTAATATTGCTAACCTGTGTCCTAAACTACTGAGCTAACCAGCTGCTGCAGATAAGAACACGCACAACTTGTATTAAAAGGACTGTAGGTGCGTTCTGTCTGGGAGCAGTCGAAGCTTTTACATCCTTGTGCATGTACATTTTAGTTCATATTATTGTTTGCAGTTGTTTCCTAGAAGTTTCCTGTTGGCATCACACAGCCTGTATAGTGCCATATTTATTTATTTATTATTTAATGCTGTGAAGTTACGCCCTTTTGCGCATTTGTGTCCACTATGACTTTGGAGAAGTAATAAATATAATCTCTCTTTATACCAACAACTGACCAAATTATCACAATGATTAAACCATAACCGTGTTTCATCTGGTTGAAAAGAGGTTTTGAGACATTTACATGAAATATGACCCAGTTTTCAAGTGGACATCAACATTGAAATCCCTGTTGAGGAGCCTTCCCGAGATTTTTTTTAGAGCTTTTCAGTTATCAGATGCCTCAGTAATACGGCATTTAGAGCTGCATCGGGAAAGAAATGAAAGTTTTCCATCCGTCCATTTGCTATTCTGGCTTTATCCTGTAGAGGGTTGCAGGGAGCTGCAGTCTGGAATCACTAAATACCATGCATGTGTTTGGACTGTGAAAAGAAGCAGGAGAACCCAGAGGGAACCCACACAGACACGGGCAGAACATGCAACCTCCACACAGAAAGACCAACCTTCAAGTTCTGATCCACAACCTTCTTGTGTTAACCAATAATTAGTATTAACTATATAGTTTTATAGGGCTAGGCAGACAACTATGAATGAAATGAACTAAAATAAGGATTACCACGACAACCATAAGAGAGCTTCTCATAGTGATAACAGAAATAACTGCACTTTTTTTTGTAGTTTTTATAAAGAACCAGGCTTTTTGTGTTCCATGCTATCATGTGCGGAAGATGTTCACAACCAGGAAACGACTTGTTACGAACCAGAAAGCTGAGTTTAACTGAAGAAACACTCAAAGAATCAGCTATTAAAAGATCAGGGGCAGCAGTGGGTGTTTGGCCTTGAGCACCAAAACACCCAGAAACAGCCCTGTTGCTAAAAACACTTTCAACTCAAAAAAGAGAGGAGGGGGAAAAAAAAAAAGTCGTTGTTCTTGAATCCGCTCAAAGCTCCCAAGTACTTTTTTTTTTTTTTTTTCCTATCCTTGAGGGCCAACGTCCTGCAGGTTTTTGTTCCTCCCTGATTGCTAATTTGCCAGTCCTCGTGTCAGCTCATTAACCACCTGGGAGGAGCGCCGATCTGAAAGAGAACACCGCGCACGGATACCACTGTCTCACAGTAACGCTTTAAGATATGTGTTTGTATTCGCGTTTTTCAATATTTTATGTGAAGACTCGCTAATTAATGCATGAATTCTCTTACATAATTGCTCAATTAGCATAATCTGGCCACATTTAGCAGAATATCAAAGGATAAAGAGATAAAAAATGTTGTGATTTCGCCAATTCTTTAAGGTTAAAAAAAAAAAACATCCCAGACTTTGGATTAAGGTTGACGTCCGTGTTAGTTCAGGATTAAGATCAGGTCCCCCCCCTTACAGATCAAGCATACGTGTGTCAGCGTGCAGGCATGGCTGCAGGCATACTTTATTTATTTTCTGCACATCCTTCCGTGTACTCTAGATTACTCATTCCTGCATGCTCCCCTATCGAGCTCAGCTTTTTTTTTTTTTTTGTCAGAGCCAGCGAGCGGTGTGAGCCCGGCCCGTACAGTGGAGGCTGAGCTCCAAGAGGCCATGAGTCATAGAGAATGAATGCCGCCCTCCCGCAGCTAGCATCTGACTGAACAATGACTGCAGCCTCCTTGCTTAGCTAACCACCACGCTCTGTGACTTCACTGCCTTTACAAGGCTAACACTTTATGGCCCGCCTGCCTGCCCGGAGAGACTCTAATGAAAAGAGAAATCCTCACGAGGCTCTCTGATCGAGCAGCGAGCTTCAGCTGCCTTTAAAAGTCCAGCTGACGTCACTGTGCCTGCGTGTTGTTGTGCTGGTGTTTGTCTATACTGACACAAGATGATACCGAGGTCACACACACACATGTCCACACACACACAGAGTGGGGCCACAGAGGGTTAGCGATGTTGAATCCTGCTTTGGCTTCAGGCACAATGACACAGTTCATCAGCAATTGCATTAGCAGCAGCACTCTTCACCAGTCTGCTACACATCTGGTCCTCCTCTGTACACACACACACATGAAAACACACTCCGGCATATGTGTGGGTTAAGGGGAAGAGGAGGAAACCAAAGGCATGAAAGGCCCTGTGCCCATTCTAAATATAAGCCAGGCAGGGTTTGCCAAAAGCAGCGCTTTATTTTTTTTCCTTATTTTGTCTGTTCTAAATTAGAGCCTGTCCACAGAGCTGCTGCTGCTGCTGCTGCTGCTGCTGGTGCAGAGGCTGAGGCTACACTGCCTCCCAGGGGGCCCACAGACACACACAGGCTCTTTTAAAGCAGCACACAGACACTGTCTTCTCCTATATAGGCTACACCGCTTTAAGCATCATTAATTATGTGATTGGATTTAACTGGGAAGTGCACTTAAGTAGTCAGCAGATATAAAGACGTACCGACCCGGACGTGACCTTAAAATATTAAACCATATAGCTCCAAATTGATGAGACCCACCGGCGTCTTATGCATTTTTCAACTGGGAATACGTGGAATTCCCACCCTTGTTGGGCTCTTAGCAGGCCGCTCACTCCCACCCTGGATAAAAGTTTAAAATGGCCACTGTGGGGATTGAAGATGGAAGGGAGGGAGTGATAAAGGGAGCCAGTCCTAGCTGTTCCCTTTAGCATGGCAGCGGGCCCGGGCCCAGCAGGCCAAACAGAACCGCACGGTGTTTCATCCTGCGTCCGTCTGTGTGTTTGACAGTGAGGAGGAAAGAGACATGACTGTACGTGGCTGTATCGCCGCGGCCGCCAACACGCTCGCTTGATGGCATCATTTGTTCGACGGCCTCTTTCCCCACCTGGTCCTCCCCACGTCTCTCTTGTCTCATCCCACCACCTCCATCTTTAATCTCAGTCTGCCTCTCTGCCTCCAGGCTTTGGCCATTAGGTGTTGTCAGAGGTATCAATTTTTAAAGAGCCTGTGCTGATCTGGTAGTTGGGTGATGGCATGAGCTGCACATGCTTAAAACAAGCATTTGGCACGCAACACTCTTTCAGTGGAAAGACAGCCGTATTAAATCTCTCTCTCCATCTTTCATTCATACGTATGGACACTAAAGACCATCAAATAATGCAAAGACACAAAATTATAATAGCCTCGTAAAATCGAATATATACATCAGTGGCAGGAATGTAGTGGAGGAAGCCCTTCATCTCCACATATATTGAAGCAGAGAGTTGTGTGGAAGTTAAAAATGGGATGTAGAATCACAGCCACATAAAAACCACAGGGAGGTTTACCACCATGTGGTGCAGCTGTCAGCCCCTAACTTATGTCACAGTGCCCCCTTTTGGCAGCGACATTAAATCACACATGGTGTCACCGGGAGAGTACGGTCGTCTGCAGCGGCGGCCCGACGGACGAAGCGCTGATTCCCCCAAGTGAATGATGGTGGGTTCAACACCCATCTGCTGTGAAAAAAGCTGTTCTGCAGCGCAAACAGATGCTCCCTGTCGCTGCTCCCTGCACGTGGTTGTTCGGTAGATACGCAGCTCTTAAGGCGTGATTTTAAGATGCTTTTTTTAGGGGTTAGCCAATAATATAAAACAATAGAACACTTTATTCCTCTGTTTTTATCTATGCTCCTGTAATTCTGCTTTGTGTTTACATGATTTAGTTAAAAATGTGTGCATGCAGTTTCTCATTTTAAACAGGGATCAATCGATAGTCTTTTTCAGAGCAGATTCCAATTATTTGTAACAACGGAGATCAATGACCAATATGCAGCGTGATGTACATTTGTAGTTAAATTTAAAATCTTGTTGTCAAAACTCACCTGCTCAATGTCGGCTCGTTCAACTCAAGCCCCTCGCAACCCTCTACGTGATAAAACAGGTACAGCTGACGAATGGTTGGATAGATCGTCATCATTTTCTATATATTCATGGTTCACAGAGGATGAATCGTCACGACTTTTTTGTTTCATGCATTCAGGATCAACTATGTCAACTTTGATGTTTCTTTACTGGTCCTCCTACAATTTTGTCAGGTCAAAATTTCAGTTTGTTCAAAACTTTAGGTTTAGGAGTCGACCAATATGGTTTTACAGGGTTGATACCGATCAATAATAGTCAATGATATCAGTGACCATTACTTAGAGTTCGCAGTAAAAAATGAAAATCTAGGTGTCAGAATTCAGAATAACACAAATCTGAGCTCAAAACTTTGTTGAAATGAAATGTTTCATTTAAAAAAGAAATTTTCAACATTTATTCTGTCGTGTTAATTGGCTGTCACTCATTCTGTGTAACCAATCAGATCAACTACAGATGGAAAAAGGGACCTGCATCCTAGCCCAGGTAGCACATTTTTAAATGTACTTATTTTATCCAAAATCAGTTTAAATACAAATAACAAAACCATTAATATGAAAAACGCTGGTTTATTATTAGATCCAATAATTGACCAAACTGATAACTGGTCATTTCGTAATTTTAAAGCAAACCCTTGTGTATTCTCATCCGCATCCGCCCTCCTGCCTCAGAGGTTTTGAAAGTCTGTCACTTTTTGCTGGTGTTTGTTTGTCTAAGCTGATTTATTTTTAAATTATGATGGAGATGGTGACCTCCTGGGGAATTGTAAGTCAAACTGAATCTATAAATATGTGTATCACGTCTGTCTGTTTGGATTTTACTAAATTATTCTCCCTGAGGATGCTCGATCATTGACACAAATTGCACCGATTGAGTTAAAGCACCTTAATGGCCTCCATGAGCTGTGTGTCGCGGCCACTCGTCCTCCTCATCCTGCAGTGGCCCAAATCTGCAGGCCAAAGGACATCAACTAACCCATTGTTTTTAGAAACACATGCACTGTCATACAGTTTGGGGAGATGTACTTTAAAATCTGAAACCCTCTGCTGAATTGGCCTGAACATGACCCCTCCGTATCTGTCTGCGTCCTGCAGGATCCTGGACTTCCGTCGTGTCCCTCCTGTGGCCGGCAGGCTGGTCAACATGACAAAGGAGATCCGAGATGTTACCCGAGACAAAAAGCTCTGGAGGACCTTCTTCATTTCACCAGGTACGCGGCGAAAACTGGGCGAGGTTATCGGTTTTCAGAAGCACGTCTAGAAGAGAAAAAAAACTCAAGATGCCCTGATATTGATTTTTGCTGCAGCGAGAAAAGTGATAAATATACTTCACAAATACAGATCAGCTGTTTCACATCCAAGTCCTCGACAACGTCTTCAACATGCAAAAGTAAAAGCCCAGCAAAAAATTAACACTTTGGAAATGTGGAGCAAAGCTAGTCTTGTGGCCTGAATTGCCGAGATACTCATTTGCATTGGATTAGTATTATCAGGGGACTTTACCTTGTGCCAAAGCATGACAGTTAATTAGCAATGCAACTTTATTTTACATATTATACACATGGAAAATCCTCACAGGATTAAAATTACTGACGGTCTCAGCAATTAATACAGGTCAGTGAATGTCCCCAGGTAATTTTAATCAAAGTGGGCTTTAAGTATGTGTGGATTGAATGACAAAAGGACATAAAGGAGTGCAGTCACTTTTTAAACGCTGAGTGGCATAATAATAGAATACGTCTGAATGTAATCGTTTTCTCACCTTCAGCCAACAACGTGTGCTTCTACGGCGAGTGTTCGTACTACTGCTCCACCGAGCACGCTCTGTGCGGTAAACCCGACCAGATAGAAGGATCCCTGGCCGCCTTCCTCCCAGACCTGGCGCTCGCCAAACGCAAGACCTGGAGGAACCCGTGGAGACGCTCCTACCACAAACGCAAGAAGGCAGAGTAAGAGATCGATCGTTGGCTCAGACAGCTCTGCACAGAGGCAGACGCTGGGGGATTCAGCGCCGAGTAGAGCCCTGTAGGTCCGGCTATCACGGGGTATTTATTACACTCACTGTCGGTTACCAGTGGCAATAATTCATGAGAGCTGAGCAAGAGATCTGTGGTTGGTAAGCTATTCTGTGTCACAGCCCGCTGTGCAGGAAAGCAGTTTATTTGCAAGGATAAATACAAACACGCTCACAGATTAGTTTCCTGAAATCATCATATAAATAAATGAGAAAAGACTCGTTTAAAAAAAAGGAAGCATTGCATTTAAGTGATCCAAAGAAAATGCATATGTTCTAGAAGATAAGAAATAATGCAAATTTGAAAATGTCTTTAGGTGGGAGGTGGACCCAGACTACTGTGAGGAGGTCAAACAGACGCCGCCTTACGACAGCGGCACACGACTGCTGGACATCATGGACATGACCATCTTTGACTTCCTCATGGGTGAGTTCGGATGCAGAACGAGCGATGAGGTGGATTGTTTAAAGGTGTCCTGAGGTGAAGCTAATTCATCCAAACAAATTTTATCCTCTAAGGTTTGCTTCAAGCAGATACAAGGCAAAACTTTAACCTATGTACTGTAGAGGTGTGTAAATGTAGTATGTGATATAATAAGAATATAATAAGTAGTTTCTGGGCGTTTTTGTGCTCCAGTCACATTTTTACTCACAGTGGGCTCATTTTTCTCTACAATATAAAGCCATACACCTCTGTGGAAACAGCACAACTGTGAATAGAGGCAGACAAAATGGCTTTTGTGTAGTGTAACAAATTTATAATGCCATAGATTTAAAAACGAACGAAAGAAAGAAAGAAAGAAAGAAAGACAGGTAAATTTCTTAGGGTTATTTTACAAAAATTTTAAAAATGGAATCAACATGTACAACATTTTTCCAAGTGCCCACAAGTGTGGAAACAGTGGAAAAAGTCATAGCTCTACATACTATAGAAACTTCTTTCCATACCTGTGTAATGCTCTGTGTAAACAGCTAGCTCAATAATAACTCCTCTGTTATGCTGAGAAACACAATTTTTTTTTATTCTGGTCATTGCAAATAGTTAACTTTTTGACTAATTTGTAAATGAAATGTGTAGAACATAGTGAATTTAATGAGATGTGAGTTTTAGTTTAGGTTTAGTGAAGTTTTTAAACCTAAAGGCACATCACAGAGGACTAGTTCGAGGATCATCAGAAAGTCAACAGTCCAACCATCTTTTTCTTTTTGTATAATTTCGGGCTTTGATAAATGGTATCATTTTTGCGCTTTTAAAAAAAATAACATCAAACCCGTTGTTGGGTTTTGGAGTTCAGACACTTAACCCACTGAATGTGCTTTGTCTTTTCGTTTACCTCTGTTTTTTTCTTCTTAACTGAATTGTTGGCTGTATTTCCACACAGGAAACATGGATCGCCACCATTATGAGACGTTTGAAAAGTTCGGAAATGAGACCTTCATCATCCACCTGGACAATGGCAGAGGGTAAACCAGTGCATTATAATTCAAGACACTGAAATGCAGACATCATCACGCTAGCTGTCATTTATAAATAACATATTATCGTGGGTCCATTTTTCACCCCAGCTTTGGAAAACACTCCCATGATGAGATGTCTATTCTGGTGCCACTGACCCAGTGCTGCAGGTGAGGTCTTCTCTGTGGTGGTTATGTACAGACTGATAAGAATCCTGTGATGGCTTTATTGATTCTTAAGGAGATGAAAAAGATCCTCATGACAGTGACGTGATCTTTTCCGGTCCATCGTGTTTGATTTGTTATATACATTCTAACAGTTTTTGCTGAGCAGATGCACCATATAATGCATGAAGCCACTCTGACTCTTTTCCCCTGCTGCTCTCTTTCTGCAGGGTAAGGAAGTCGACCCACTTGCGACTGCAGCTGCTGGCTAAGGAGGAATACAAGCTGTCCATGCTCATGGCAGAATCCCTGGTGAGGGACCGCCTCAGTCCCATCCTCATCCAGCCACACCTGGACGCCATGGACCGACGACTGCGCCATGTACGTGTTTCATGCTCATTTGCTGCACTGTGTCTGGCAAAAACTCACTGCTCCGACCTCTTGAATGTGATCATCTGCTGACCTCCTTAGTCCTCTGTGATAATACAACAAACATGTTTGAGTTCACTGTTAGTTGACAGACATGGGACATAAACCTGTGTTCTGAAAAAATACAATATTTTTCACAGTTTTCTAAAAATTTTAAGAGAAACTTGAACATTTTGGGAAATGCTTATTTACTTTTGACTTGCTTGGTAACTGAGAAGATCAAAGCCCCTCCAGGTAAAGCATATTCATCACACATGTGACCAAAAACCAGCGAAGTGCAGCTAAACCTTTTCTGTGGTTGCAGCGGTGCACCTGACGCTCAGCAAATCTGTTTGTGTGTGTCTGGGTGGGGCCTTTTTTTTTTTTTAACTAATTTTTAACCACACATCTGACTGAATTGTGTCTGCTTCAGTCACAAGTGGCGACGAGAGTCTTCTCTGTGCACAGCTGTCGAGTGTAATATAGTGTATATATATGGGAGGTGTTCATGAAACATCAGTAAAAAGTAGCTTTAGAAAACAACCTAAGTTACACTCTGCCTCTCTAAATGTCTTTGCATGCACATTGGTCATCCACCACCACAAGTAAATTCTCAATACAGCCAACATTGAGCACTGCATTTGACAAGAGTGTGACCAAAGTACGGCTGGGAACAGAGCTGTTGCTGTCAGGGCATTGACATTCTCAACTGAAATGTTTTAAAAACGTTCTGTCCAAAGAAGAGCTACCTTTTACTTCCACTGAATTTGATATCGTGCTTATTTAAAAGAACAAGTTAAATGTAGAAGACATTTACCTGCACTTTTATTCCTGTTTACATTCGTTTACATGATGTGTTAGGTAATTACCGATGTGTTTGGGAACTAAAATAAAAAAAAAATTAACCTTCAAATTTAGTATTATTTAGCATGATATACCATTTTGATTCACCCAGATGAAAAAGTTAGGCACACAATTGTAATCAATGTAAAAAGTGTGTTGCGATACAGCCAGCTTATTTTTAGCTTAGCTTAGCATGAACACTGGATTCTGAAGTTTATCATTCACCAGTTCCCGATCTAAGCTACGCCAACTCTCTGCTTAATGTAGCTTTAGATTTACTGTAGAGACACAAGAGTGGCATCAGTCTTCTTATCTAAGT